AAGGCAGAAGTTGAACCCGAAGTCAGAGATGGATAGACAATTTAAGTGGCGTTGCCTCCACCCGGGCAGCTTTCTTCCAAACAGCCTCGGTGGTGCCAAGCCCACAGCGTAAAGTGGGGGGTGGGGTGGAGGGGGAAATGCTGCCGTTTGGATACGAGCTAGGAAAATGGGGTGACAGTGCTGCCGTTTTGGGGAAAAGCAGGGTGACCAGAGAGGACGTGTCGAGCGAACGGATAGATTTGCACGCTGTGCAGTGAGTAGCTTTAAAACAAACAAGAAAGAAAAAGTATTGAGGGTATTTTGTCTTCTAGGTTTTTATGTGCGTCGCTGGTAGCCAGGGTGCAGCCCTCTTTAATAGCGTATTTTTGTTGCCGTTTAAAAAGGACTTGTTTAATAATTCAGACTGTGTAAAGATAACGGTGCAACTTTTAAAAAGAAAAGTTTTAAATGGAGCATTTAATGTTTGCTTGATGTTGGCTCAAGTCCAGTGACGATTCCCCAGGTTTTGGAAAATGTTCACATTGTTGGTTTGTAAAAGTTGCTGTAAGATATGGGAAGGTAAATGTTCAGCAGCTGTACTCTTACATTAAATGGAGATGATGTGTAGCCATGTTGGTTGCATTTTAGTTGGTGTTGAGTCATACGGGATTATTCAAATCTTTATATTCTTTTCGACTGCGATTGAAAGGTAAATCTAAGGTTTCATGACAGCCTTTATAAATATATTAATTGAGGCATTAAGATGATGAAAATAGGCTTTTAATTTTAAAAAGAAATTTGAAGGATCATTATTGTTATTTTCCATGGAAGGTGTTTATATATCTTTATTTTAGATTTGGATTACGATGATTTTAGGATTACAGAAACACTCCTGCAGTGTTGGGCAGGCTGTGACATGCATAGTTTGGTGAAAGAAAGTTCTAGCTTTAGGTGGGTGTCTGCTATTTTTTAGTATGTTAATATAAACATTTATATAAATAAATTGTGGTTTTCTTCAACTCTTGTTTCAGCTTCAGTAGTTAATTTGGTTTAGAAAACAAACAAGTTGATCTTATTTCTTAACAGGTTTTTCTTTTCTCTTTTTAAATGGTTAAAAGATCCGCACCCCTTGTACTTTAAGAGATATGAGGAATTGAATTTACGTATATAGGTGTTTTTAGTTGCTGATTTTGCAAATGAGTTTAAAGTAATATTTTTGTAGAATGATCTTTCAAACTTTTTCTAGGTATGGAGTACGAGGGATGGATGTAACTGCTACAACAGTATGTTAAGGCTTTTGACAAAAGATGACAAAAGTTGGCTAGAGCTAATGCAGATGTGCTTTTAGTGTGAAAGAGCGTAGTCCTGGAGCTGATTAAAGGTCAAAGATGCTGCAAGTTTTAAAACTGTACTCTAAAGGGCAAAGCTGATATCTTACTTGGTGAGATCAAGTAACTTGTGGCTTAAAATTCATAGAAGCCGATGACAGAAGCCATTTTAACAACACTGGTTGCTGTTAGTGGGGGTGGGTTTATTTTAATTTTGCGTTGCTTGCTTCTAAGGGCTTTGTTGGAGGGAAGGATTTGAGGGGACGTTGTGGGTTAAATTGGAAAAGTCACGCTTTGGAAAAATAACTTTGGTTTTGCTTTCTAAAACACACAACTCGCTGCAGTTTTTTTTACTCTTAGTAATATGGTAGTAGTAAAAATTAAGAAAAGTCAAATTTACCTCTTTTCATGCAGTAAAGCGTCATGCATGTGATGTCGAAAATATACCTCATTCCAGTGTCTATCTTAAACCAAGTATGTAGAAAGACCAACGTTCTGGTTTTTTTCAGATTTTAGTTGCAGATGTACTTCTGACTTCATCGTAACATTAAATTTCTGAAATATGCTTATATTAGCTTTACAAGTAATTATTGCAATTAACTTACATAAAGGGGGGGGAAAAAACCCTAAAACTTATTTTTTTTTTTTTCTCTCTCAAAGGTTGAATTCGGCAAATATTTACCTTGATTCCTGACTGTCTTCCAGAAGAATTGTATAAAGGTAATTGTTAGGTAAGAGTGGTTTATTCCTTCTTTTCATAGTTTGCGTTCATTTTCACTTGAAGGTTTTTTTTTCAGTTGTAAAGGTTTGTCTAACTGTAATCTTCTACTATGTAAAGAAAAATTAAAATAGACATTCTTGAAAACACCATTCTTAAATGAAAATCGGGTAAATTAAAATAATTTGGATTCTATAGAGTGTTCTATTTAGGTAGTTATGAGCCTCATCAGGAAAATTATCGAGTTTAACAGTCCTGCTGTATAAAATCCTGAGTTGGTTAAAACATTTAAAAAGTGAATAAATTATACGTATTAGAGAGTGCATTTTGGGAGAGGAAAATTGTCATCTTTAATCGGAATATTTATTTTTTATTTTTCCTTTCTTCCAAATGAAAAATATGTATCGACTTTTGTAAAGATTTGAATGGTCTATTTTGATGTTCAGTAAAAAAAACAAGTTCACTTAAGCATACTGTGAATTTGAAATGTGGCAATATAAAATATTGGGTATTTATATACAAAAAAAAAAATGCTTCTTGGAGCAGCATCTCTCTTTTCCTTGGGATGAGCTTGATCATCACCTAAAAATCTTTAGAAAGAATCACGTTTTGGTTTTATTCCATATACTTTGAACAGGGTTTAAAACACTCATCAAAAATATGCTCTTTTAGGTAGAATTTTCGATATTCCAGGTGCTGAGGTGTTGGAATGTAGATAAGTTACTCTTTGAAACAAATCTGTTTATTTTTCTCTCTGTCTCTCTCCTTTTTCTTTGAAGGAAGCACTGGGTATTGTTTCATGTTCCTTTCTGAAGATTTGGTTGGCTCATCTGTTAAGCATTGATGGAAAGATGCATTCAGAATTCTGTATGGTACGTATCAGGTATGTTACAGTGACTGTTAACCCCCTAAAGTCACTTTTTGAGCAAAATAAACCATAACAATTTAAATGGTAGCTTTTGTTTAAAGCACGAACATCACAAAATACTGTATTTTAACCAAGCTTTGCTTTTTTCCCCCAGTATTTAAAGACTATATGCTAAACACCATTTATAATGTTGACGTGCCTTTTAAACGCATCTTTTCTTAGGGTTATGCAAAAAGCAGATATGTTTATGACATCTGAAATAATTTTATGTTAAATGTTTAAAAAATGAAGGATTAAGAAACTGGCTTCCACCAAAAAGGTGGAACTTTCTATCCTCCTGTATATACACTTGTGCATGTACAAAGTCTCATTGGACATGTATAACCAGATTGAACCAATACATTTTCCCTTATTTTATTGCTTTGAGGTCACCTGAATCTGATTCTTGTTCAGGTTTTTGTGCACTTAAAAAAAACCAAACAAAAGACCTCTAATGTTTATATACTAAAATATTTTTTTTTTTTTAAGAATGACTTGGAACACTAGCCGTATCAAATATCATATTGTCCTGTCTGCAACATACAGTGACTAGTTTTCAATTGTGTTTGAATTTGAGACATCACCTAAGAGAGAGTTTTGGACTGATACACTGTAACGTAATGCCAGGTAGAAATGTGATTCTAATGTAATTCAAAGTTGCCAGTCTCTGTTTAGATTAACAGGTTCAGTCTCGCAGGTTACCATACCCTGTGGTACTTAATACCAAATTCAGATCTTAAACTTTTAAGGTCATCTTGACGAGGAGACTGAGAATCCTGACATGCAACTCTTAACTTTGGCTGTTAGTGCTGAAGAAGAGCAACTGTTTGATACCGCAACAAAGCAGTATGGTTCTTTTAAATGTCTTCCAGCTGAGAATGCGTTTGGCTTCACTGTGACCTTCGACATATTCCAGCTAATTGCTTTAGTTATTAAAATGTGTGACTTCTGTGAGCACGTTTTCAAAACACCTCTGCTTTGTGCAATTGGAGGTTCACATTAGTCCCAGTATTACTTGAATGTGGACTTCTTGCCCATTTTTGACTTGCAGATCGTTTGCATAACATATGTGGATAACAGACAGTATAGGTAAACTGCTGGAAAACGCATTAAATGTTGACTGCGTACATTGTGTAAAAATCCAGCAGAAATCAGTTGTTTAAATGCTTAGTGTGAAACTTGTGAATTAAGAATCATCAGTAATCATCTTTGCGAAGAGCAGAACGTGATATGTGGTGTGAATCTGAAGCGCCGTGGAACAGAACAGTACCAAGCACAGACTTACTGAATAATGATAAAGCTAAGAGAAGCTTGTAACTTTGGTTGAAGAGTACACTTCTAGAAGTAATTCTCAACCAGGGTTTCACAACACCCTGGGGTGGCTCGAGATACTTTCAGGGGTGCCACAGGATGCCATACAATGCTCACATTGTTAGAAGTACAAGCACAAGTCACAAGATAAGCCTAACATTTTCAAATAAGAATCCACAGTATTTATTTATTTATTTATTTATTTATTTTTAAAGTTGGATCTATTCTGGTGTTTTGGAGTTCTTTGCAACAGAAAAATGCTTTATTTTTTCCTACTACAAAAATAAATGAAAACTAAGAGTGGGCGTTTTCTGAGGAGTGCATTGAGCCTAACGTGGGGTGCCTTGAGTCTAAAAAGTTTGAGAACCACTGTTCTGTAGTAATACTTCCACTTAATTTGAGAGATTCAAGGTTTGTATTCCTTTGTCAAGCCTTTCATGATCCAAAATTCAATATTGATTGATCTACCCATAATTAAAGATACATATTTATGGTGGGCTGGCTCACCTTGAGTGATTTAGAAGCTTGTCAGGCATTTGAAAAAAGAATACCTTGGCCTTATTGGCTCTACATTCTTCTAATATCAACATCATATTCTGTGTAGTAAATGTCCTGTAATGTAAAAATATATTTTTTTAACTTTTGAATTCTTTTGCCTACTCTTTGGAGCTTCACTTCCATTTTCCTCCCTTATTTTAATTCAGGGTGGTACATCTTTTGATGTAATATATGCCAGTAATTCTGTGATGCAAATCTTAGTAGATTTGATGCATCTCACTACGGAATCAAGGAAAGGTGCGTTCCAGGCACTCCACAGCATAGTAACATGGCAACCTAAACATGTCATTTTATGTGCTGTCCTGTTGGTGTCACTGCTGTTTCAAACTAATTGCCCCCCAAACAGCCATGGTTAGTGCAACATCACACCAAAGGGGCTGCTGCTTTCTTCTCACTTAAGACTCCCTTAGAACTAGTAATGCCAGTCCTTTGGTTGAAGAGCCACTGTCAAGTGACACAACATGAGACACCCCCTTCTGAGAAGCAGAGCATAATATTTCTGAGCTTCTAACTTACGGAAATGCTTGTACATATCCCTGAGGTCAGCTGCAAATTTCAAATGATTGCTTATTTTCCTGTTTTGGGGTGACACACGTTTTTTACTGTGAGTTCTACAAAGGTTACAACAGGTGGTCAGACTAATATCCTATTTTACAGTTGATAAAATAAATTTAGCAGTAAATGGGAAATTTACATGTGCTAGCTAAAAATGCTACTATTCAGCTAAAATTATGTTTTACTTATGACCACTATCCTAATTTGTGGATCTTATGCCTTTGTGAACACTTTTTGTTCTTAACTGATGTAAGATAAAGTTGTAAGTAAGTTAGTACTGTACTGGCAAATCAGTGTGATTAGATTTGAAGTTGTACAAAGGTATTTCAGTAAATAACTCCAATTTTGAAATAAAATAATTTTGTGTGCGGTGATCATTTGCTGGACCACATCTCTTCTCTACATAGTCATAAATGACAAGCATGTTCAAAAATACCACCATCAGTGTTCCCTGCTGCCATGAAGTTTCCCATACATTTCACGCAAAATGTTTTATTTTTAAATTGCCATTACTTTCTGAAACACCCTTGTAAATTGCAAGTGTAGTGGGCATGACTGGAAATTAGAGAAACTGTACACTAGTCATTAGCAGGCAAGAAATGTCACTGATTACTATCATTTCACTTCTGCCTCTACTTGCTTGCTGTGAACCTTCTTTCTTAGTTCATCTAGTCACTTAGGGCAGTGGTCTCCAAAGTGGGGTGTGCAAGACGATCCATTGGGGTATGGGAAGAAAATATTCTAACTTCTATTTATATTTATTTTTTATCTAAAAAAAACAAGAAAGAAATTAAGTTTTACTAATATTTAATATACGGATTGACACAGGCGCCCTCACTCGGTCTGTATGTCAGATGGTCACGTGTTTATAATCTATAAATAAATAAATATACATATTGGGGGTCTGTGCTCAAAAATTTTTTACTGATAGGGGTGCGTGATCAAA